GTTCTCACACTCTCTCAGAGGTTTCTGCTGTCTTCCTTTCTGGCCAGTCACCCAGTTCTAACATGCTCTTCCCCACACTCCTGCAAATCCAGCCCTTTCCCTCTCTGTTTAGCTTCTGACGGTTCATTTGCCTCTGAACTGCCTTTCTGAACAGTCCCCTCCAGAAATGACCTCACTGGCTCACTGTGGGCTGCCCTCGGACAGCAGAGCAAACGTCTTCATGAGTGATGATACCTCAAGTGTCCTAGTGGTGTGTAATTTTAACATGCCATGACAATTTTAAAAGTAAATGCATGGAGATTAAAGAAAAACTTCGTGGCTGATAATAAAATGTAATGGAATATTAAAGGGACAATGTAAAAATGTTCAGTAGAACTCTTAAATGCAGTAAACACCAAATTTCTCTCTTTGGCCACTGGCTAAGGAAGTCCCAGTATAATACAGGCCCCTGGCTTCTACTACACACAAAAGGTCAGTTAGCTGCTGCAGACCGGAAGCCCCGTGAGATGGCTCTTTCTGTGCTGAAGATTCCAGGGACAGTTTTACAAAAAAGCTCCAGGGTGAAATTTAACTGTACCTTTCCTCACCTTCTCTGATCATTTAAGCTGGTCAACTGTTCCCAGCTCTGTCCACCACGCCTTTTAGAATCTTATCATCTGATGTGAAGTCCCTGAGTGTCTCTCTGATGCAATCAGTCTACAGTCAGCCCTCTGCGAGGTGGGAAAACTCTGGATAAGCTAATTCACACTGGGACAGACGTCAAGCATGTAACAATTACATCTAACAATCTCTTTTACTTCCTATAGTAACCCTGAAAGGTTCACCTTCATCTTGCTTTCCCAGACGTGGACAATGACTCCCAAAGAGGAAAGTCACTTGCATGGCCTGTGCTGCTCACAGGGTAGACTTCAGTTGCCCCCACTTCAAACTCAGCAATCTCTCTATGCCGCCACTCTGCACCTCATGTACTCGTACAGCACCCCTTTCCAGGGGCATGTATGTTTCAATAAAAAGCGACCCATGAGCTCAGGGGAACAAATCTGTCAACAGAGAAGCTGCAGGCAGTACTGATGCCTTGTGTACGATGGGTTCTGTGGGCACGGGAGCCTTTCTGCTGATGTGCGTTCTCCCAGACGGCCTCCACATCACCCAGTCCCATGTTTCTCCACGGCACCCTGCGTTTATGCACCTCTGACGTCTTTGCTCCAAGTTAGGACTTAGAGAATAAGAATGCAGAAATTACAACTCTCACTCAAAAACTGAATTGATTTTTGATAATTATGATACTTTTTTGGATAACAATCATTCTTGAAACTTTTAATGAATGAAAAAAGTCACTGGAACAAATCGCCTGGGGACCTCCAGTTTGCCTGTCTCTGTCTCTGTCTCTGTCTTTGCAGAAGGCTCTACTCTCCCCAGACACCAAGATCCACATTTCCATATTCAGCCTCTCCTGCCTTGCTCAGTATGAAAAATTCTACACAGACCAGATATCCTGCATTATCTTTTATCTATGTGGATTTGCGACTTACTCCACTTACAAAATGGTAGATTTGCAGACCTAATTCCAAGGCCTAGATCAGTGTCTGGCACTTGGTGGAGAACACAGGTGTCACTGCCAAATGCATAAAACAAGGGTTTCTGCCCATCCAGCACGGCCTCATTAGTCCTCCTCCCTTCTACATCATACCCTAAATACTTCAGACACATGGGAAGCGTGGGGCTTCTTTGCAAATCTAACTAACAAGCTCTCTGAAAAGAAACTGGGTATATATACCTCAGCCAGATATATGTCTCCTCTGACAGCTAATCTCTTCTTCCAACACAAATGCTGTAGCCCGCACATTGTCTATGAAGACACGGATGGCACGGACAAGCCTTTGGCTACAGATATACAATGAATTTTTGCAGCTGTACTGGTCACTGTCTGCAGGCCTGTGATCCACATCCTCTTCTCCACAATCCCCAGGAAGGCATCCACAGACCCCTTGAAAACATGCAGCCTTCCCTACAGGAATTTCCCTAAGAATAACTAGCAGAGCCCCCACATCTCTTTTTAAGGAAAATGTGATCTTCGGCACATCCAGAGCTGGAGGGTAACAAGGTGACATGGGCTGGGCTCTTTTCTGGGCAGAAAAGGAAACAATGACTCCGATTTGGAATGCTGTGATGTGTGCCCACAGTGTTGGACACACTGCTCAACATTCAATGCACACAACACGTGCCCCCACCGCAAGGTTCAGCAACTTCCCTGGGGGTGACACAAATGACACTTGTCACCAACATGACCTGACTTAGTCATTAACCATCAAGGTCCGGCTAAATCCCTGCCCTGTCTGATACTTCTCTATGCATAACAAAAGGAGCTTGATGTTCACCTATAATCACCAGCAACCCAGAAACTAGACTATTTCCCTATGCACAGAGAACCTAAGTTCTTCTATTTTCCAGCTGATGGAACTGCGGTCCAGAGAAGGTCAATGCAAATCTAAGGTCAAAGAGTTCTAGAAATGTAGAGTCCAGACTTCCAGCTCAATATAAACAAGGATGGGTGGGCGAGGGGACCCGATTCAAAGTATTACACTAATAAGGGAAGAAAGGGAAACCAAATCTGTGCATATACAATATTATTCCAATGGTAATGAAAATAAAATAAAAATGAAAAGCACTGGGAGGTGATCTGGAAGGAAACCTTCTGAACTGTCAAACAGTGGCTATGGCCAGAGAGAGGTAATGTGGAAATTTTTTCATAAATATCTGTATTTTTCCAAATTTTCTGCAATAAATCACACTAGTTTTATGATATTTAAAAAGAAAGAGAGAGAATATTGTGACAGAATGCCCAACTCTGTTCACACTGGTCACCATCGGCACTGACAGAGGTGCGTGCACAGGTGAACCTGAAACTCATCAGGGCAGGGCGACACTTACCCACCAGCTGGGGGAGGGAGGAGGCCTCTCGGTCCAGCAGGATGGACCCTTTCTCCATGCACGTCCTCAGCTCAAACAAGCTGTGAAGGGACAACGTGGCCACATGGGGCTTGCTCCATCTTTCCCCACCCTGTTCCACTTTCTCTTCAAATTTTATCCACCTAGGAAGATCAAATTAATGAAGAACAATTAAAAGAGTTCTAATCTCCTCTGGAAATAGCAATGTCAGCTCTCCATCTCCACCCCCACCAGCGTTTCTAAAATGTCTCCTTTGGTGGAGTCTGGGTAGCTGATTTTATCATTAGTTACATAATCTTCATAAACACACCTAAACAGCATCATGTGACTGCTCTTTCCCTAAAGTTAGAGAAGAAAAAAGGAAACCAAAAGAAGCCAAAGCACCTTGGTTTTATATCTGCCTATATGTAACCATGAAATCTTCTTAAGAATCATTATTTAACTACACTTTTTAAATAAGATTGAAAAAATATATACATTTCACAAATTCTCCATGTGGGCAGAGCCAACCAGGTATAAAAATAACCACCATTATGAAGACTCCATTGTGACTTCCCAGGCAGGTTTAAATGAGGTGATGAGGAAGGTGAGGGGTGAAGCAGTGGCCTGAACGGACAGTCTCCTTGAAAAGGGCCAGCAATGTTTTCCTCTAATACTCGTTTCTCAACTGATGCCTACCTCCCTCTCGCTGGGATTCTAATAAAAGCTTTGCCCTCAAATCTGGTTCCACATGTGTTTAAAAATACACAAACTCAGTGAACAACAGCTCTGTTCTGATAATAACAGGCCTCCTGTTAGCCTCAGCAGTGGGACCAACAGCCCTCGTTCACAGCTGCTGCTCTCTAAGACTCCTGGACATTTTGATAACCTAGCAATAGATAGTGGTAAGAAAGTTATTGGGAGTGAGAGGGAAGCACATTAGACAGACTTTCTCTCCCACACCCGACACGCGAGACGCTCCCTACGCTGCTCCAGGAAAGCGGCAAGGCTGCATCATTTTGCTGTTCAGCATGAGCCAAGCAAAAATGCTCCTCTCTTTGACCTCAAACCTTCTGAAAGATATTGAAAAGACAAAGAGGGGGTTAAAAATTGTTTTTCTGCATTCTTCGCCCAAAGGTTTAATAATTGAAAAATGTTTTCCTGGAAAAAGCTAAACGCTCACTGAGCTTGCTAAGAAAAGAACAAAGGGCAGAGCTCAGAGGAAGTGCCATGGAGGGCGCATTTACAGGGCCTCTGCCTGCAGGACCGGACGGCCATGGAGGGCGCATTTACAGGGCCTCTGCCTGCAGGACCGGACGGCC